CCCCCCCCCCTCGAGCAAGTGTTGAGTTCCTGTGTGCTGTCGGCATCGCTGACCACTTATGACGCAACACTGCTAGAAGAGAGAGAAAGAGGACCAGGCAGCAAACAAACCAACAAACGACCAAACAAACCAACAAAGAGGGACTCACTGTCAGGTCAGCCTTGGTAGTACATTCCCCTCCCGTGGTACAAGACTTCCAGGTGGTGTAGTCCACCAACCAGAGCGCCACCGTGCTGGGCCAGTTGCCTCCTGTTGAAGGATTGGGGGCGGGGGGGAGACAAAAGGAAGTTTGTACTGGTGATTGTCTTGGAAAAGCGGCCCTTAGAGCACCGTTCGAACTGTTCAAATGTACTTTATTCCCTCACCTCCCGATAGTTACTTCAGCTTTACTGAGCTTTCCTGTAAAACTTTTGTTTGAACAGGGAGTCCAGCATTAACTTGTGGGAGGTTGGCGGGTGCTCTGCTGTACTTTTCTCGTTCTTTCCCATCATTGTTCTCTAGTATCACCTCTAATCTTTGGCACTTATGTGACCTATTTATGTTGCAAGTGCCGTAAAACTCACATAAATTTCCCTGCCAGCAAGCCCTACAACACATGCATTTCAATTTCAACAGACATGGACACACAGACAAACACATGGACACACAAACAGACACAAGAACACACAAACAGACACATGGACACACAAACAGACACATGAGCAAACACATGGACACACACATGGACACACAAACAGACACATGGACAAACACTTGGACACACAGACAGACACATGGACACATGGACAAACACATGGACACACAAACAGACACATGGACAAACGCATACAGACACATGGACGCACAAACAGACATAAGGACAGACACACACACAAACAGAAACATGGACACACACACACAAACAGACACATAAACAGACACATGGACACACACACACATACAGACAGACACATGAACACACAGACAGACACATGGACACACAGGTAGACACATGGAAACACAAACAGACAAATGGACAGACAGACACATGGACATACAGACAAACACACACACAGACAGACACATGGACACACAAACTTCCCCAGCACAACCCACAGTGCAGCAATCAATGACTTCCTCACTTTTTATTGCTCATGTTTGCATACTTCATAGCCCATCTACATAACATACTCCAGCCACACCGGGCAGACAGCTGGGCTCGACAACCAATGAATAATACATGTCTAGTTTTATTCTGGCCACCTGGTTCAGTAGTTCAGATTCACTCACACGACTCACATACCCACGCACATACACACACATGCACACACACACACACACAACAGAGCTGCGTGCAGACTGCGGGCCACTCACCAAAGTTGGCGACGGTGTTGAGCAGCGTCATGTAGGTTCCCCCGATGGACGGGTCACTGATCTTGGCGTGGAAGGCCATCTGAGAGACAAACATACAGTACACCGCCACCTGCAACACAAGATGGGGGGACACAGACACATTACTTCAGATGTTGAACACCACACCTGCATCTATTCAGGCTATAGAATAAGAGGTAGGCCACGCAAACCCTGAGAAATTATAACATCCTAACAGAAAGAGCTGACAAGTTCGCGGGCAGTGTTACATACAGACGTAAGTCATTTTTGGCGGTCTTTGAGATACGTCTGTATGTAATACTGCCCATGAGTCAGCCTACCGTAAAAAAGTGCATCACCCTTTGACACTCAATGGCAACATAGGATGGAAAAGTAAAAGTAACAGTAGGTAACCACCTACTTAGATCATTTAGGAAGCAGGCTTCTTCCACCCTGTTTGTCAGGGCCTATGTAGGCTGACAGGGATACAACATCCCTGCAGAAAGACAGACACTCCGAATAAAAGCCTCCCCACACGGGTATCAAACTAAGGTCGTCTGCGTGCGAAGCCAAGCATTAAACAGCCCCACCATTAAATGATTTAACCCTTGGCTTACATGAGAAGCTTGAACTTTTGCTGCTGTTGTTGATATCATTTTGTTTTTTATGGGGATTCAACTCTTATTCAAGCAGTAATTTGACTTCAACTGTTTCATTTACATTTGCCTTTACAATAGTGTAGTGTTTTTCCATGTCAGCATTTTTTGTGTAGGCAGTGGAAGGTTAATACATTTGTTCAGTTAAAGAAAAGACACCTAGCCTACTGTCAAATACTGTCACTTGCTCACCTGTAGTATGTCGTAGATTAGACAAATACTGTCACTAATTCACCTGTTGTATGTCGTAGATTTGACACATACTGTCACGTACTGGCAGTTACTCACCTGTTCTATGTCGTAGATTACACACATACTGTCACTTACTCACTTGATGAAAGCGGTAGATTAGACATGTACTGGCATTTACTCACCTGCTGAATGCCGTAGGCGAGCAGAGCCACCACGTAGAAGTACCAGGGGAACTCTCCTGGGGTCACCTGAGTGACCACTGCCCAGTACACGATCAGACAGTACGCCACACCAATCAACATCCTGGGGGGGGGG